CTCCTACACCCATTACGTATTCATCAATTACCTTGCTTCTTCAACAACTTATCTCCATGTACCTACAAATTAAACCTCTTCCATCTTTTCTGGCAAAAACAACTTATTCTTTTTTCACTCTGTTTCCAGAGGGAGAACAAAATAAAATAAAAAAGTAAAAATAGATAAGTCAAAAAAATAAATAAAAATTAAAATATTACTTGTTTCATTCTAGATAAATAGAATACAAATAAAATTATGATATTAAAAGAAAATTTTTAAATCATTAATAAAAGTACTATTTTATTCATAGATTTAATCTTATTAAGTGCATTTTCTATATAAGTTAGAATCTCATGCATGCTTGGAAGTTAGGTTACTTTAAAGGATTTCTTAGGTGCTAGAAGCTGCTTGAGGACTCGCTAACCTTACTCTTCCTTATCCAGTGAAAGATTCATTTTTTGAGTTAGATCGAGTGGAAGCTTTCCGAGAAGAGGTGACAATCTAGGCTAACTAGTATGAGTTCATACCCGCCCCTGCTTTGAGCTTGAACGTGGCACTAAAGCTGAGCTCATGAAAAAGAAGGTTATAAAAATCTTTCCTTTAAGTCTAGCTCATTTCCCGATTCGAGGACTTATTACTACGTCATTCTTGCAAGCCCACACCGAGAAGAGAATTGATGCAGACCAATACTAAAGACTGTAAGTTGTCCCGCCTATTTTGAATCTTCTTTCTCTTTTTATTTCTTTCATCTTTTCATTTCTCGTCATACCAAATAGAAAGTAAGAAAATTAGTCCAAAACACAAATATCATAAACAATAGTAGTTGCATAATCACTTGTCAGTAAGTAGATTATGAGTACGTACAAGCATTTATTATCATTGATACTTTATAAATAACTATCATTGATAACATCAATTTCAGTTTATTATTTATTCCCTATTTTAGTTGTTTGTTTAAGAATTATTTTTACATAAATTAAAATAACTACCCCCCAAAAAAAAATCTAATTGTAGTCAAATTTATTAGAATATCTCTATTTTAATAAATAGAGTATATTATTAAAATTTGCTAAATAGTGATTATCAGGTATATATTCATTTTTATTTATTAATGTATTTCTCGGGGATGAATTATGGTAGATATGCTATGTTTAAATTAAATCAATTATTTTCTACTATTTTTTCATTTTATAAAAGTGACATCTTTTTTAATTCATTGTATTTTTGTGTGTAGAAACTCAAATGGTTCCATTTCATCATAATCAATCTTGCAATAACCTTCCAAAATTATATTATATTTTTCACTCATAACGTACACTACAAATACTTGAATGATATTTTACATGTTTCATCTTCATCAGTTAAAGGTTCATCCTCCCAAAATTCTACCACACCTCTTATTGAAGAAATCACTACCTTAGTGACACAAATATCTAATTTGTAAGAGCATATGAAAATTCATTTGCATGCACAAATTGATATGTAAGCACAAATGAAGACACAAACAGAAATATAGACACTTACGCTACAACAAATGCAAGAAGAAATGCAGTATTTTAAGAAAGATTTATTATCTACCGTAAAGAAACAAAGATGAAGATGTACTTTCAAGAATCAAAAACTTTGTTTCTATTTTTAATTGTGTTGATCCATAACTTTTTAGTTGATATAATACTTTTTCGTTGTAACATTATTTTTGTTATGTTTTAATGATTTGAAATATCATTTTGAATGTTTAAACAATATTTTTATATTGAAACTTGATAAGTTTGTCTTCTTTTTTTAGGATATGCGTAATACTTTTAATATTAAACATTTGATATTATAATATTGTGATGATAAATTAACAAAATTACCTGCTACGCTAATAATAATAAATTAACAAATTAGCGAGAGAAAAATTAAGAAGGATTAGCTACAAATTAATGCTAGACAAATTGCAAGGGATTAACTATAGATTAGTGAGAGAGAAATTTCTAAAGATTACCTACAGATTAGTGAGAGACAAATTGTGAGGAATTAACTATAGATTAGTTAAAGACAAAATGTGAATTATTAATTATGAATTAGTGACAAACAAATAGTGAGAAATTAACTATAGATTAGCTATAGACAATTTGTGAGAGATTAACTATAGATTAGCGATAGAGAAATTATGAGGGATTAACTACAAATTAGCTAGAAACAAATTGCGAAGGATTAATTATATATTAGCTAGAGACAAATTACGAGGGATTAACTACATATCAGTTAGAGACAAATTGTGAGAGATTATATACAAATTAGCTAGAGACAAATTACGAAGGATTAGATACGGATTAACAACATAACAATTACAAAGAATTAGATACAAATTAGCGAGAGATAAATGTGAGGGATTAACTACATATTAGCTAGAATTTTGGGAGATCAACTAACTAGGGAAAGAAAAAGTTTCATCACTTAAATTAGCGAGGGACTTGACGACAAAAATTGCTATAAATTTGAGAGAGAATACATCTTTATCTAATTAGCTATTTGGATTTTGTGACAGACTATTTCATAGCTAATTTGTAGCTCATATGTAGCAAAACGTATTATTGAAAGATTAACTATAAAATAACTATGAAATGTTTTGTAGCTGATATGAAAAATTCTTGTAATGTGCTATAAAGAGAGGGAATGAGAGTAATGAACTAAACTCAAGTTCTGAATAGATTGTGACCCTAAGAAACACCATTAAAACCCTAAATCTAGAGAGGAAAAAGTCCAAGAGTTTTGAGGAAGGATCCTGTGGAACTTTAGTTCCTTTTGCCTCCATAGAGGTAGGCATCATTAAACTACTCTTCCACTTTGATCACTGAATCCCCAGGGAGTATAACTGCAATGAGGAGAGAACAAATGGCATTGCAACATGCATAGAAAAAAAAATGAAAATTGTCCATTCTGGAAGGTCAAAGTCTGTAAAGTTTGAAAGTGTTGTTCCCCTTGATCCTTTAACCAATCTTTCAACAAAGACAAGTGAGGAGGAGAAGATATGCAACTTTATCACAACTACTTCAGGTAACTAAATTCAAATTCCAATACCAATTGCTTCCAACATTTTATATTTGTGTAATGTGCTAACCTCAATGTCTCTTTTTCTACGTAGATCCCATCTATATTGCTTATCACACTACAAGAAGTGTACATATTAGCTATGACACATTGCGTAACTATTTTATAGTTAATCTTTCGTTGATACTTTTTGTTACAGATTAGCTACGGAGTAGCTATGAAATAGTCCGTTACCAAATCCAAGTAGCTAATTAGATAGAGATGTATTTTCTCTCAAATTTGTAGCAAAATTTATCGTCAATCTATCGCTAAGTTCCTCGTTAATTTAAGTGATGAAATTTTGTTTTTCTCTAACTAATTGATCTCTCAAATTTCTAGCTAACTTGTAGCTAATCCTTCCCAATTATTTTGTCGCTAATCCGTAACTAATCCCTTGCAATCTGTCTGTAACTAATATGTGGTAAATCCCTTGCAATTTGTCTGTAGCTGATTCATAGTTAATTCCTTGCAATTTTTCTCTAGCTAATCCCTCGCAATTTCGCTATCGCTAATTCTTAACTAATCCCTCGCAATTTTTATCACTAATATGTAACTAATCCCTAACAATTTATCTCTAGCTGATCTGTAGTTAATTCCTCACAATATTTCCCTCGCTAATCCGTAGTTAATCTTTCGCAAAGTTTCTCTTGATAATTCGTAATTAATTCCTCACAATTAGTTGTCACTAATATGTATCAAAATTCGTCTCTAGCTAATGTATATAGTTGATCACTCGCAAGTTTTTTCTCTCGTTAATCCATAGTTAATCTCTTGCAATTTTATTTGCAAGTAATTTGTTAATTATCATTATTATTATTAACGTAGTAGGTATTCTCCTACTAAAGTATCATCATAACATTATAATATCAAATGTTTAATATTTAAATTATTACTCATATTTTTGAAAAAAAAGACAAATTTATCAATTTTCAATATAAAAGTATTGTTTAAACATACTCAAAATGATGTTTCAAACAATTAAAACATAACAAAAATAATATTTCAACTAAAAAGTTATGTATCAACTAAAAAGTTTTATATCAACACAATTAAAAATAGAAATAAAGTTTTGATTATTTTAAGTATAATTTCATCCTTATTTCTTTAAGGCGAGATAATAAATCTTTCTTAAAAGACTGCATTTTATTTTGCATTTGTTGTTGTATGAGTGTCTGCATGTCTGTTTGTGTCTTCATTTGTGCTTGCATCAGTGCTTACATATCATTTTGTGCCTGGAATTGTGTTTTCATCTCTTGCAAATTAGATATTTGTGTAACTAAGGTAGTGATTTCTTCAGTGAGAGGTGTGGTAAGATTTTGGGTAAATCATCTAGCTCCATCTTTTCATTGATTTCTTCGTAACTGTCTAAATCATTACTTGAATTATCTAACTCATTATCTATCATCTAGCTCCATCTCTTCATCCATGAACTCATCATCTAGTCCAAATCATTTTCACCATATATATTTCTTCTTACACATATCCCATTATTCATGATGGATTTATTAGCTCCGTACTCCTTTGTATGAAATCTATATCCATTAACCATTACACCATTATAAGAAGTCACAATCTTAACTGGATCATAACTTATCTCTCAAATTAACTGATCCTCAACTTGGCTTGTACTCACCTATAGAGAATTACAAAGAGAAAACACATAAGTATATCACTTGCTATAATGAATTTCAAATTATACACTATGGATTGCTATGGAGAAAGACTCACTTGATGTTTTAACCACCTATTGAAAACTTGATATCGAGATACTAATATTTCATCCTCAGATATATTAGAATTTTCATTCTTCAGTGAATCTTCAAATTTCTGAATTGATACAACTATTATTAATATTGTAACAAATCGAATTGAATAAAAAATGTAATTATGAAGAAAATTTACTTTAGATATGGTTCCACTTCTTTACACCCTGTGTTACCAAGCTACCCAGTAGCACCATAGTTCTCCATCTTTTCAGCAAGCATGACTGCATACTTGGTTAGGTGTAGAATTATAAACGCGACACCAAAGCAAGCTGAAAATGTTTCCTGTGGCTCCTTTATACCCTCTGTGCCAGCAACCTATAGTTCTCATAAAGAAGAGAGCTCATGAGAGAGATTTAGAGGAAGCAATATTATCAAGATAGAGTAAGTTACTTAGACATTACCAGAGTTGTGTATCCACTGATGAAATGGTACATGGTCTGTGACAGGCTTAGCTTACTCACAGGTGGAAGCACACCAAATGCATCACATGCCTAAAGGATCACATTCTTTGGGTGAGGACCAACACATGGTAACTTCACATTTGAAATGTACTCAATTGGATAAGTTGCACGAGTATTTTCTGCAACATGAAAATATATTATTATATTTTGTTATATGTGATTATATTTTGTTATTTCTCGACAAGGTCTATTGCAGTTAATTTCTAATTGGTTTATGCTCCACATTTTCCTGTAATTTAGTCCACCTTATTGTTTACTGTCTACATAAAGTTCAAATCATACGAACTAGTCTGCATTAGGAGTTTTGCAAATAGAGGTTTCTTTTGTTAAATTCCATCCTTATCTTTTAATATTACTAATTTAATTATTAGCCTTATTTATTTGCAGCAGTTGACCTCAAACATTGGATTAATGTTATGAGTCAGGAGCATCTTGCACAGATAGATCAACCATTAACTTGATATGACCAAGTCGTAATACAAACCAAGTCATTACTTACCTGTAACTGAATCAACTACACGAAAATGCTCCTCAAAAATAACATTCTCCAAGACTAACAACTAAGTGAATAAAAATGTTTCATTTAATAATCCTTAGTGTGTACTCCTTCATCTCCCTTATCTCATTAAAATGTTATAGCAGTCCAGAGAGTAGTAACATTCAAAGTGAAGGAGAAATTACCGTGAGAAAGTGTGAGCGACAGTAATGCGGAAGTGGTGTGGCAACGCGTGCGGAAGTGATGCGGTAGCGGCACGATAGAGATGCGGTAGTTGCAGCGGCAGCGGTACGGTAACAGCAGCGGCAATGACAGTGGCGCGGTAGCAACAACGGCTGGGTCACTAGATTTTAGTTGAAACGAGAAGGGGATTTCTGAACAAGGAAAAAGGTTAATTTAGTATTTTTATTAAAAAAATTATAAAATTTCTATAATTTTAAATTTTTTATTATTATTATATTAAAGAGGTTTATATTTAAAATAATATTTAATTAAATAAATATTTGAGTATAATAAATTTTTTTTCTTATAAAGATTAATTTCTAAAAAATATATATAAAAAATATTATTTATAAAATAGTTTATTAGTTTAAATATTATTAAATACTTTTTAAAAATTTAAATTTATAAAAAAATTATAGAAAATAATTTTAAATATTTATCACTTTTTTTAGATATTTTTTCAAAAAAATTATAATTATTTTCAAATAATTTATTTCAGATACAGAAAATAATTTATATATATAATTAATATATTTATAGTAAATTTGGTAAAAATAACTTTTTTAAGAAAAAAATGCAATTAATTTTTGTTAATATTTTTTCAAAAAGATCAGAATTATTTTTTATAACTATATATTTTTAGAGAAATTTACAAGTATTTTTTATAAATAATTTTTTCTTAAAAAAATATAAAAAATAAATAATTTTTAGTAGAAAAGCTGACTTGTATTTGCAAGAGATATGTAAATAAATTTCTAACAAATTTGTATTGAAACTATGAGAGAATGGTTCCTAACAACTTAATATTATTTTCAATTTGATATTTGCTATAAATTTGCTCTTCTTTAACTATAATGGTATGTGTTAGATATTGTTTAGATATTATTTGATATTCACAATATCAAACAATATCTTGTGTTTATTCTGTTTACTTTTGGTTACTCTTTTAGTTGTACCTCTCTCTATTATAAATAGATTACCTTAGGAGTGGTTTATACACAAGGGAGATTAATCTCAAACTTTATTTCCTCTATATTCAATATGATATTTAGAGCTTAAGGTTATTTTGAAATTTTTTCGCCTTTGTCCACTGCTGGAGCTGCCACCGCCGTCAGTGCCGGTTAAAATGATCTTCCACATAAAAAGAGAAAGTTATTTTTGTTACTGGATATTATTTGGTAGTGTGAAAGTGCATGTCTAGGAAGGTTCTGACAAGGAAAGATTTGGTATTTAAGCATGTCCATTAGTGACTCACCTCTCTTTCCAGGGAACTTACCTGGTGTACTAGTTCACGTTGCCGTCGTTGTTGCCATCAAAGTTTTATTTTTTATCGACAATATACAATTGTGCTCGTCTTGGTCAGGTGACCATTGTACCATTAAGATCACCACTATCGGAGTTGGTCGTCCATTGTCTTCTGCGTCGTTTAGTCTCGACAGACTTGTTTTGGTCTTCTCGTTTTGGATCTGTGCTTCGTAGGTTGATTGAATTACTTTGGATTTTTTTAGGGTTTGTTCTCCCGCCCTTCATGACTTCTTCCACTCCTTCTACTATTTCCAATTCTGTTAATCTTTTCCCTTCCATTGATAATGTTCTTTATGTCCTTGGGTCTCTTTTTAACCTGTTGTCCATCAGTCGTCTAACTCGTTCTCTTAATTGTGTATTTACAAGACCGAAGTTCGAAACAGGTGATTGACACAGGATGTGAGTCTCATGGTCTTTATCATCTCCGTCCCTCTACACATGTTGGTGTAGTTATGAAGTTTCCCTCTCTTCTTCATGCTCAGTTAGGTCATCCAAGTCTTGCCAAGTTACAGAAGCTTGTCCCTACCTTGTCCAACTTGTCTAGTTTGGCGTGTGAGTCATGTCAATTAGGCAAACATAGTCATACTTCTTTTCCTCGTAGTGTCACACGTAGTGCTTCGTCACCTTTTGTCGTGGTTCACTCTGACATTTGGGGACCTAGCGACATTAAGTCTATTTTAGGTTTTCAATACTTTGTTACTTTCATTAATGATTATTCTAGATGCACTTGATTATTTTTGATGAAAAATCGTTCTAAATTATTTCATATTTTCAAACTTTTTTTAATGAAATTTAAATTCAGTTCAGTGTTTCTATTAGAGTTTTGCGTAATGATAATGACCGTGAATATCTTTTTCATTCTTTTAAACAATTCATGGCTTCTCACAGTATTTTGCATCAAACTTCTTGTGCTTATACACCTCAACAAAATGGTGTAACTGAACGTAAAAATAGACATCTTATTGAAACAACTCGCATTCTTTTAATTCATGAAGAGATTCCTCAACATTTTTGGGATGATGCTCTTCTTACTGCATGTTATATCATTAATTGCATGCCTTCTTCAGTTTTAGATAATAAAATACCTCATTCCATTTTATTCCCTCATGAACCACTTCATCCCTTATCAAGAGTTTTCGGGTCTACATGTTTTGTTCATAATTTTAGTTCTGGTCTTGACAATCTTTCCCCTAGATTACATAAATGTGTTTTCTTAGGGTTTACAAGATCACAAAAAGGATATAAATATTTTTCTCCTTCTCTTAATTGTTATTTTGTGTCTGCAGATGTCACCTTTGGTGAATTCTCTCTTTATTTTAAAAGTCAATCTTCACCTTTGTCTCCATCCAATCCTGTCAACACTTCTAGTATATTTAATGTTCCTGTTGTTTGTGACCCTTTAATTGTGTCTTCTTCACCATTAGTTCCTGCTTCGCAGTCAGCTTCTTCTCCACTGCCTCTTCAGGTTTATAGTTGCTGAAATCAATCACAACCACCACCATGTGACTCCATTCAAGTGCCAACTACTCTGTCTCCTCTAGATCTGACACCTGAGTCTGACCTTCCCATTGTCCTCCAAAAAGGTATTTGTTCTACACGTAATCCCTCTTCCCATTATATTGCTTTGAGTTAGCATCGACTGTCATTACCTTTTTATACATGTCTTTCCTTTATTTCTTCTGTGACCATTCCAAAAACTGTCCGTGAAGTTTTAGCCCATCCGGTTGATGTTAGGCCATGTTAGATGAACTAAGTACTCTTCATAATAGTGGAACTTGGGAATTGGTCCCGTTACTGTCTGGGAAATCTATTGTTGGTTACAAGTGAGTGTTTGCTATCAAAGTTGGACCTGATGGTACTATTGATCGCCTCAAAGCTTGTCTTGTGGTCAAAGGTTATACTCAAATTTTTTGGTTGAATTATGGAGATACCTTTTCTCCCGTGGCAAAGATGACTTTTGTCCGTTTATTTATCGCTATGACCGCTCTTTAACAATGATTTCTTTATCAACTGGATGTTAAAAATGTTTTTCTCAATAGGGATTTGCAAGAAGAAATCTATATGGAGCAACCTCCTGGGTTTATTGCTCAAGGGGAGTCTTCTGAGATGGTATGTCGTATTCGCAAATCCCTATATGGCCTAAAACAGTCTCCTAGGGCTTGGTTTGGAAAGTTTAGCAAGGTTGTTCAACAATTTGGTATGACTCGGTGTGAAGCAGATCATTATGTCTTTTATCGACATTTGAGTGCTGGATGTGTTTACTTGATAGTATATGTTGATGACATCGTTCTTACAAATAGTGACAACCATGACATCTCTCAGTTGAAACAACATCTCTGTCACCATTTTCAGACCAAAGATTTTGGCAAACTTAGATATTTCTTGGGTATTGAGGTGACACAGTCCAATGATGGTATTGTTATATCTCAGAGGAAGTAGTCATGAATATTTTGGAGGAAACTGGGTTGATGAGTTCAAAGTCTATTGATACACCCATGTATTCCAATACTAAACTTCTACCAAATCAGAGAGAGCCTATATCTGATCCTGAGCAGTATAGAAGATTGGTTGAAAAATTGAATTATCTTACAATTATTCGTCCTGACATTTCCTTTGCAGTCAGTGTGGTAAGCCAATTTCTTAATTCACCATGTGAAGATCATTGGAATACAGTCATTCGTATCTTGAAGTATATTAAAGAATCTCTTGGAAAGGATTGTTATATGGTTCTAATAACCATACAAAAGTTGTTTGCTACTTAGATGCTGATTGGGTAGGATCTCCTTCAGATAGAAGATGTACATTTGGATATTGTGTCTCCATTGGTGGTAACTTGATCTCATGAAAAAGTAAGAAACAAAGTATTGTGGTAAGATCTAGGCAGAAGCAGAATATAGAGCTATGGTCTCAGCTTCCTGGGAACTTGTTTGGCTCAAGTAATTGCTTAGAGAGTTACAATTTGGAGATGTCACTCAAATGACACTTGTGTGTAACAATCAGGTTGCTCTTCATATTAATTCTAATCTTGTCTTTCATGAGAGGACCAAACACATTAATATTGACTGTCATTTCATTCGAGAAAAGATTATGTCTGGA